CCCCCGCCTGCTGAAATAGCTGTTTCAGACCCCCGAGGAGCAAAGGCAGAGGCAAAGCTTTCCCTCTCTTTGCCCCAAGGTGGAGCAGCCCAGGCTGTGTGACAAGCAAAATGTGTCAATCTTACCCCTCCGTTGCAGGGCACAGGAGAACACCCATACCTAGGAGACTTGAACGATTCCCTCTTCTTCCTAAAGAAAGGCTGGAAAGAAGCCTTCAAGAAAATTTCAGTGTAGGCCTACAAAAGTTAATATTTCCCTTTTGATGCATGTTTCTTAACAACAGCTATAGTCTGTGACAGAATACAGTGCCTGTCGCTACAAGACGGAGTGTTACAGCCCTGTACGTTTCACCAGGAAACCTTATTCCCATTTTCTCACTGTACCACTAAGAGAACGAGTCTACTCTAGCCTCCACGAGCACTAGGAGGCTCTACCACTTTAGCTATACCCGGTAGCTGCAGCAGCATAACTGGCGTGGCAGATAAATCCAGAGTGCATCCAACCCCAGGGAGCTGGAGCAATTTAAATATAGCAGTTCAGAAGTGCTTGGACCTTTCTAAACACACAAACTTGCTAAACATAACAGTCTTTCTGTTATTTTGGTGCCACTTTATTCGAGTCTGTTTGCACCAAGAGGAAAAGGCATTTGGGAAAACACGATAGCTAACAGCCTAAAGTATCCTAATGTAGTCAAAAAAAAATTGCCATAACCTGTATTTTCCCCCTACTAACACATTTTAAGTGTATTAAATACCACTTTGCCTTTTTTTAAAGGCTTACTTCCCTGCCTGCCTCCCCATGCTAATTTAGAAAAAAGTTCTAATTCACTTTTTGCTTGCTTAAGCAAACAAAAATAATCATAATTACAGAACACACTTCTGGAAGGAAGACGAATTTATATTCACCAAGTTCGTGGGCCTGATTACGAAGGAAAATGGGAGACGGTGCACCATCCCTGACTGAAACGCATCCATGTCTCGGGCAAGCAAAACAACAGAGAAGCCAGTTACGTGAGCGAGTGCTTTGCCTCCAGAACTCACGTTAGGGTTTGTTCGCTGGTACATGTCGAAGCAGAACCAGTTCTGCCTCCTGCAGCACACCAGATTGCTCGACCTGTTCTGCAGCAACAGAGCCCAATATTTGCCAAGATTAATCACAGGCAGGGAAAGGCCTATTAACTAGGCTGGGGTTACGACTTGGTTGAAACAATTCCAAAACTCTCTTTTTTTGAAAATCTGTGAAGTGTTACTTTAAAATAGTAACTGCTGTTGAACCCAAGCAACAGCAGGTTTTGGAGTGCCCAAAACAGTAAGCGATCCCATGGGTGTGTTCAGAGCATGCCACAGGAAAGCACTTGGATGTGGAGGGCACAAGGCTGAGGCCACGAGCACCATCTTGCACTGAAAAAATCTCCCGAGTTTTAGGGGGAGATGAGTACAGAGCAGTGCCAGTGTAGTTTCTGTGTTCTCCTATCTGCAAAGCTACTGAGGCGAAACCTGATGTCCTCTGCACAAGTACTGCGTTTTGGAGGTACAAGACTAGCAGGTCACCACAGAAGGAAGCATTAGCACAGTTGCATGTACAAGCTGTTGGTCTCACACCCTCCCCTCCTTGCTCCCTCCCCTTCTCAGTCGAGACCTCCTACACTTACCTCTTACAAACCAATGCTGAGCAACCTTTAAAAAACATGTAAATAGGCTCATTTGTTAATAAAGTGACATTAAACATAAGAAGTGAAGTCCCCTGGATTATTTCACAATGTATTTTTTCAGTCTCCAACATGCAGTCTCCTATTTAGCAATTGGTCACCAAGCTGTTATGAATAAAGACCAGGTTCTCATCACACAGATCAACCCAATTAGCAAAAAGAGCTCTCTGTAGAGCAACACATTTGACAATTTTAAAGGAAATTATTTCAGACCTGAATCCAGTCCCAGATGTGGGGCACAGAGACAGCAACACAGTAGGTTTTGATACTGTCGAAGCCCATGTTTGTTGTACGCCCCATGTAAAAGAGGTGCTTGCAGGCACCCAGAAGCTCACAGTTGGTCCCACTGCCTGTGTGCCAGCTCCAGGATGTGAGTGACAGAAGTGAGATGCTGAGATGATCAAGTCCGCCGATCCTTTCACAGCGGGAAAATCCTCATCTGGCAAGCAGGAAGACCCAGAAAGGCCCTGACATCCTGCTGTGACTTCAGTCCCTCCTGACATGGCAGAGGGATGTTCTGAAGTGGCTCTGCAGGCAAACTGTGCAATGGAGCCTGAAGACCGAACAGGAGTTTTGATGTGCTCATAAAGTGAGCAGGATTATTTTTATGTAGTTGCAGCAACTAGTGCTATTTTATGATGCCAGAAATGTATTTATTTTCCTTCAGGCTGATGAACACCTACAGTAAAGAAAGGCTTCTTTGGGTAATTTAAATCTTGCATGAATGGAAAATCATTTTATGATCATTATTAATATGTTTGTGGTGTATCCAAATAACATTTACATGATTCCATTCTGAACCGGCTAACACTGGACAGTTAAAAATAACTTGATCATTCTGCACAGCATATGCTGCCGAATGACCCTGAGCCCTGCAGCAAAGATACTCCCCTCTTGCAATTTCTAAGGCTTGTGAACACCATAGCAATCTCCTTTTT